GGGAGTGGGGTACGTCGAGGAGGGCGGGGTTGCTGGGGGTGAGGTAGAGGGTCACGCGGTGGAGGTCGGACTGAGCGGCAGCGGCGGTGTAGGTGGGCACCCACCCGGCGTATCGGGCAGCCCCATCCGCGGACGCGTAGGGGAACTTGATGGACGCAGCTGCACTGCCAGTGAGCGTGCCAGTGCAGGCAACGAAGAGGAAGAGCGCCAGAGCCAACGACGTGGGACTCATCTTGCACCACAACAAAAGACAATACTCATTTTATTTCTTTTCGCTCTTTGTTGTGAAACGGCGAAGTATGGACGGAAAAGTTGTTTGAAAAATGGAGCTTGAGCAAGCACGTCCCTGCGTGTGGGTACTCCACAGCCTCATTTCTTGACTGATTACTGATTCCATTTTCTTCTTGCAAGATTTACAGATGTTTTAAATAATAAATAATTACACAGGGTGAGGGGTTCTTTGGCTGCCGGCCGAGATGGTGTGCCAGGTCCTGCGGTGGCTGGGCGTGGCCGAGCTGGGTCGGGCGCAGCTCGTGTGTCGCCAGTGGCGCGACCTCATCCGCGGCGCCGAGCGTTGCGACGACCACGACCACAGCAGCGGCGCTGACCACGTGCTCAAGGACTCAATCGCCGACGACCTGTGGCGCGCGGCCTTTCTGCAAACCTGGCCGCTGCCTTCCCTCGAATTGGCGCCGACGTCAGAGCTCGGCAGCGGCAACCACACGAGCGAGGAAGAAGACGACGACGACGACGACAGCAAACCAAGCGTGCGGTTAGCTGATGAGGAGGAGGATGACGCTGGGGGCTGTGCCGGTGGCACCGACAACGATGCTCTTCTGGGGGGCTGCAGGTGGATGCAGATCGCCAGGGAGCGCTGGATTCTGCAAAAGAAGAGTACGTCCGCCTGGCATACAGAGTTGAACTCAGTCCTGATCGAATAAGCGCGTGTGCGGTGTGTGCGGTGTGTGCGGTGTGTGCGGTGTGTGCGGTGCGTCGTGCATGTGTGGCCTGTACAGACACCACACAGCCGCGGGCTGCAGATGAGGAGGGCGCCGAGGAGGACGCAATCGCCGACGACGCCACGAAGAGGAACGAGAAGGGATTCGGGGACATCGTTGAGCAGATGCGCGCGTCCGTTTCCGAGCTCCTGGAGGACCCGCAGCAGCTCACGAGCGCGCACGCGCACGCAGCACTCAGTGCGCTGGCCGCCACCGTCCTCTACCGAGCGATCAAAGCTCGTTACAGGTAACATTTTTGGTCTATATTGATATATTCTATCTTTTTTTAAATTAATTTGTATATATAATGTGCCTATTATTGAAGAGTGTTGCCTTATCCAGGATCGAGCCCGCGCACGGCATGGACGACGGCGAGAGTGAGTATCATGCGGTCGAGGCGGTGTTCTACAGCCTGACGACGGGTGAGCCAGTCTACGTCTTCTACACGTACCGCTACAAAGCACTGGAGACGGGCACCATGTGGGAGTACATCCAGTGCCGCGAAAAGCGAATCGCCTGGGGCAGTACGTGTTCCCTCTCTAGTGTGTCTTGTCGTGTGTGTCGTGTTGTCTGTTTATCGTGCGTTGTTGATTATGACGAATTCGCTCGTACAGGCAAGCGAAGGCAGTTGTGCAAAGGTGTGAAGTTGCTGCGGGGTCGGCGCGATCCAGCGCTTCTGTTAGGCATTGCCTCGGTGGACTCCTCCGATCGTGTTGCCTTTTGGAAGGCCGTTTTTGACATCGAACGTCGCACGTGGTCCATCTGAGCTTCTAAAACTCTGTTTTTTTGTTTTTTTTTGTTTTTTTGCCGTGTGCGGTTGGCTGTGCGTGTGCGGTGTGTGCGTGCACCAGAGTGGGCTGATGGTTAAAAAAAGATTAGAGTCTCCGTTGTTTGTGTTGGGTCAGGCCACCTACTAATTGGCCACGCCCCGGGCGTGTTTGGCCTCCTGCTTCTCTCCGGACGTTGGCGACCTCTCCGGCCCGGGGTCGTGGTGGTCCGACCCATCGACGTCGCCAGCGGCGGCGCCCTCGTCGTCGGCCTGCTCGTCCTCACTCCGCCTCCTGCCGCCCAGCAGGGGCAGAGCCGTGGTGAAGTGGAGCGGATAGATCTCATAGCGCGGCGCGTTTTCCTGTGTGTGCAGTTGGTCAGTACACGACACACGACACATACAACACGACCGCACACGCACGACACACGCACACAACACAAGCTCGTTGTCGTTTGGGAGAGAAAATGGTACCATGACCGACGGGCACAGGCTCTGGGGCAGGTAGCGGCCGTAGAATTCGAAAAAGTTCTCTCGTTTCTGGGTCTCGACTTGATACCACACGTTGAGCTCCTTCTGGTA